AGAGAAGGAGGAATCAAGATCCTGTTTTCCAGGTAAAGAAACTGAAGTGCAGCGAAATTAAGTAAATTGCTCGAAATCTCAAAGAGGTTGACAGGAGACAGTGCTGGGATTTGAACCCAGGACTTTCCAACACCAGTGTATGTTCCCTTAACCACTCCATGCCAGGTATTGCTGGGCTGGAAACTCAAGAGGAAGAAGGTTTCCCCAGCAGAGCCACCAGACACCCTCCACATCAAGAACCACGACACAGCTAGTCAGGTGACACCAGATTCCTGGACATTTGCCTGCTACCCTCAACCCTGTCAGGGCCCTGGGCTGTCTGGATGCTCCAAAAACCACATTCACAGCAGTGTCCAGCAACCAGCACCCCCTGTGCAATCCTCTCCAGCCGTGTGGTATCACTCACCACAAAGGGACCGCTCCTCCTGTCCTTACAGAAGCTGTGGCTTCTCCGGGGGACCGAGGCCACAGGCGACACCTGCTGGAGCAGTCGCTCCTTCTCCTGGGGGGCATCCTCCTTCTCCAGGTCCCGTGGCAGCACCTGAGACACAGAGCACAAGAAAAGGACTTTACTGGCAGCCTTCCCATTTACAGGAAAAAAAATATTATGCCAGGAGTCCACTGTGTACCAAAAAGGGCAAAGAAGAAAATGAAACCCCCAGAAATCCCCCACCTTAATGATCACAGGTAACATGTAGGGCAGTAGCTCTGGGTTCAAATGGCCCAGCCTCAGCCATTTAATAACTGTGTGACCTCAGGTGGGTGCCTTAACCTCTCTCTGAGCCTCAACTATCTGGGAAAGGAACCATGATAACAGCACCCAGTTTCTAGGGGCTAAGGAACAGCATTTGGAATGTACATGACGCAGTATAGCCACCAGGGGGCAGACGTGCACAAGTCCTGGGCACCTGGCTTGGCTTACCCTAGCTAGCCTCCTCCATACCTGGCATCTGGGGAGCCCTCCATAAATGGTGGCCGGCCTCATTACTGCCAGTGGTCGTTCTTGGTGACCTTATTTTAATCATCTCTTTATGCACCCAAACACACATGCACAGACACAGAGAAACGGTGCATGCACAGCACAGCACCTCCAGTACATCTACTTGGAATCCTGCTGTGTTTTTCCACTTAGTTATATATAGGGGAAACATTCACAGGCCAGGACTCCAGGATGCATATTTTATACGCTTCACACTCTCCCTGCGTGGACAAGGAAAGAAAGACCCAGAGATGGGAGGGACCTGCTTAAGAACACACAGCACCAGGAAGAGCAAGACTGAATTTCTAATCCCTTCTCTCACAGCCTCTTTTCTGGATGCCTTCAGAGACCCTCTGGCTTTCCTCCTAACCCCCTGGCTGTTTTTGATCAGTATCCCCACATGTCTCAGGCCAGCCGCAGAGCCTTTTCTCCTTTTGCTACATCATTCCCTCTGGGATCTCTCTTCACGCCCCCCATGGCTTTAAATAAATCCCATCTACACCCAGATGCCTGCCAATTCTGCTTCTCGGTGTTGGAACTCGACTTGGAGATCCCACTGCTCACTCAACATCTCTTGGAAGCTCACACTCACCTCAGATCCACGTGCTCAAAACACGCCTCTTGATTCCATCTCTCCACAGTTGCTCTTCCCCTACTTTGCCCATCCATCCCCCAGCTGGGGAGGCCAAGACCCTCGGGTTGCCCTCCATTCTCCTCCCCATTCTCTCCCACTTTTCTTCACCCCATCAGCAAAGCTGAGACTCTACCTGCAAAACATGCTGCAGATCTGACATCCTATGTACCAAAATCAACTTGAAATAGACCAAAGGCCTAAAGGTAGGAGCTAAAGCTAGAAAATTCTTAGAAGAAAATATAGTTGTAAATCTTCAAGACCTAGGTTTAGGCAGCGGTTTCTTAAATATGACACCAAAGGCATAAACAACAAAAGTAGAATAGATAAAACAGACTTCTTCCAAATTAAAAACTTTTGTGCTTTAAAGGGTGCCATTAAGAAAGGGAAGGCCAGGCGCAGTGGCTCATGCCTGTAATCCCAGCACTTTGGGAGGCCGAGGCAGGTGGATCACCTGAGGTCAGGAGTTTGAGACCAGCCTGACCA